CCTTTAGACATTGTATTTTATTAAATGATGCCTATTTTTCCCTCTAAGAATTACAGTGATAACTTGATCTGAGTGAAACCTCAGAATCATAAAATCAGAACCTTATAGATAAGCCCCTCTCAGTCATCCCCTTGATAGAAGGTAGAAAGAAACCCTAAGAGATAAGTCACTGGTCCAGTTACAAAGATCAGGGCTAGGTCTAGAACTTAGTCTTCCAACTCTTATTCTGCTCATTACTTCCTCCTTATAAATAAACTAGTGGGCTGGTACATGAAATTCATGCATGGGTGTGTGTGTGGGGGGGTGGGGGGTGTCCCTTAGCTCGGCCTATACCCTCTCCAATCTGGGACATCCTTCTCACAATCCTGGCTCCTAACCACTCACCTGCCTGCCTGCCTGGTCACCCCTAACTGCCTCTGCCTGCTGGCCTGGTTGCCCCTAACTGCCTCCTGCCCTTGCCAGCCAGGTTGCCCCTCACTGCCCTGCCTTCCAGCCTGGTCACCCCCAACTGCCCCCTCCCTGTCAGCCTGGTCACCCCATGAAACCTGCTGTTCAGTGGTTGTTCATCCCTCACTAACCCCTTGCTGGACTGGTCACCCCATGCAGCCTACTGTTTGGTCATCCATCTGATTGTTTCCTTCGTGATGGCCCCTGGCTTTTTACATATTAGGATATTGCTGAGTCTTCTATGTATTTATGGGTATGTGCTTTAGCTTTTCTAGTGAGGATAATTTTTCCTTTGATTTTTAGAGAAAATGGAAGGGAAGGGGAAAGGGAGAAAGAGGGAGACAGAGAGAGACAGAACATCAACAAGAGAGAGGCAAATCGATTGGTTGCCTCCCACATGCACCCCAACCGCAGGCAGGGATCAAACCTGCAAGCCCTGTTACTGTCCTTGACTGGGAATCAAACCCATGAACCCCTGGTGTATGGGCTGACGCTCTAACCATTAAGCAATGCCAGCCAGTCCTCAAAGCCAATTTTTTTAAATTATAGACCATATTACGTTTCTGACATAATTTTTAAAGTACAGTTGAAAATCTGTGTTTAGAATGTTAGGGAGAAATTTTCTTCCGGAAAGGACAATGCGTAGGATTATAACAGTCCTAATTCTATTCTTGCAGAGTAGGAGAACATAAAACTTAGGTAGCCTTTGGCAGTGTGATCATGAGCTGATAAAGTTAGGTTGATTTCTAAATAAAAAAAGAAGAATCCTGTTAGCAAAGTGACCTGTAAGAAAGGGTTTTAACAGGCTTTTGTTGTAATCGGGAAAAAAAATCCATGGTAACACAATTATAAGGGGAAAAGAGTCTAAGAGTTAGACATTTATTTAGAAAAAAGTGTTAGAAAAACTATTTGCATTCACAAGGAGATAAAGGAGGCAGAGAAATTTGACCTACATAACAATCTGTACTAGGAAGTAAAATCAAGAGACTTTTATTTAATTATAGATAATAGTTCAGGTTCCTAAGTAGGAGGACAGAGAACTAGACGAAAGAGATGTGCTTTTTAGAAGACATAGTAATACATTGTTTTTAAAAAGAAAAATAGAATGTAGTGGGTGGGAGAGGGGGTTAGTAGGACATATAGCTTTCCTTTTTTAAACAAAAGCAAAACCAAGACCATAAATTTTCTCAGGAAGGACTGAAAATTTAAATTTTGGGGGGAGGAGGTTTAGTTTAAACATGTTGTGATTACATTTAAACGTGTTGCCATGGTTAAGGATTTGTTTTATTAATTACATAATAACAAATAATTCATGAGTACTTGGCTTGATGCAGGCACTCTGTTGAGTGACAAGGAAAAATATGGGAGGATAACAGGTTCCCTGCCCTCAACCTAGGTATATACCCTAATGGGAAATAGAACCCTCCACCTCCTGGTGTATGGTCAATGTCCAACCAACTGAGCTGCCTGGCCAGGGCTAAGTCACATTTTAAAGGGGACCAGAGATCTAAACTATCTAACTTTATAAGTAAATTAGAGGCCTGGTGCACGACATTTGTGCACTGGGGGAGGGGAGTCCCTCAGCCTGGCCTGTGCCTTCTCACAGTCCAGGACCCCTGGGGGGATGTCCACCTGGTGGCTTAGGCAGAGACTCCCGCCACCATCACCGCACTCGCCAGCCATGAGCCCAGCTCAGGGTTTCTGGCCCTCCCCTGTGGGAGTGCACTGACCACCAGGGGGCAGCTCCTGTGTTAAGCATCTGCACCCTGGTGGTCAGTGCATGTCATAGCAACCAGTCATTCTGCTGTGCAGTCGATTTGCATATTAGGGTTTTATTATATAGGATACTCATCTTTCACAAAATAACAACACTTCATATTAGATAATTTGAAAAATGATGTGTTAGTTTCCTAACTCTGTCTTTCTAACTTGAATGTCAATTTCACTTTTTATAGCCCTTCTCCCAGCACTTACAGTTCTGCATTGTAAATATTTTAAATATAAAGCAGAGTGAGAAAAGGTAAAATATAAATGCAGAGTGGGAACAATGAGCCAGCATGATAAGTATCTCAGAATTCCCCTTGTTGTTAAAAACGCATTAGGACTTACATTTCCTGCAAATAAAGAACGGTGGCCATTTATTACTACCTGTAATAATAACAGTGGTTATTCAGAAAAGCAATTAAATCCTGGAGGTACAATAAAGACCATTTGAACATTCAAAAAGAGAAGTTGCCAAGCAGTATGATTTATATATAAACACTTTAGTAGAGCTTTAAATTAACAGGGTTTTGAAATGGGGAAAAAAGATCAGTTTAGTGGGTTTTTTGGTTCTTATTTCATTGAGTTCCAATTACACTCACCGCCTCTGTGTGAATAGGATGCACAGCAAAGAGCAATGCTGTAACAAAAGCGAGTCCACGATTCTTGAAGACAGTTTTATCACAGGTGTACATCAGCACAAGAGTCACCAGACAGTGCAAAATTACATTCACTGCATGAAAGTAAAATGGGTTCATTCCAGTCAAAAATATGTTTAGCCTGGAACAAAGAAGACAAAAACAAAAATGATTAACTACCAACAGAACATAAACACAGGAAATCAGAGGGAATCCATCATTTAAAAAAGTAAGCTGTTCGAGTGATTATTTTTAAACTAAAGGCCTGGTACACAAATTCGTGCACTGGTGGGGTGCAGCCACCTGCCCCAATTGGGGCCAATCAGGCCAGCCCAGGGGGATTCCAGGGGGTTGGGGGGAGGCCATGGACAGTTGGCCGGCCAGCCCTGCCCCCTAGTTGACCTCTCAGTTGAACTCCGGGTCAAACTTCTGGTCAAGGGGACAATTTGCATATTAGCTTTTTATTATATAGGATGACTCCCAACACCAGGCTACTCTACATATGAGTATCACTTTTTCCTATCTCGGATTTTTCTTCTCTGCAGAAATCACTGCAAATGCAATACAATATTATTTCAGAAAACTATGTGGTCTCACTGAGAAGATAGACAGATAGGTGCTGAACCTTTTCCTCTCTTCATGGCTAATGCAAACACCCCAACAACACTCCTGCTTCACTCCTGATTCTTCCAGGGTGAGTAAGTGTTCAAAGGCAAGTCCACAGGGCTGTGGGTCAGAGCCACAGCCGATGGAGATGAGAAAGAAACCACAGGACTGTGACTGTGGTCACAGTTGGGACAAAAAAGGCATAAGGGTATTCTCTCACCCAGAGAGAATTTCCATGGTGCCACCAGGAAATTTCCAGATTATGCACCAGAAATCATTGTTAATTACCAGCCCACAAGCAAGCTTCAGGGCACCTACATCCTGGTACCAGCTGCAGTTGAGTTTAAAAGGATGAGCAAAAGCATAGCATTTCAGACTTTGTATTAAATGTTTCCTAACATAAATTCCCACAGATCTCTGAATGCTAAGATCATTACGGAAAAAAACTAAAAAGAGAACCACAAAGAAAAAGGAAATGTATTGTTCAACATCTTAAAAAATACTTTCCTGAGATAGAAATGCAAGACAGAGAGACTTCAAAAGGTTGCCTTAAATTTAATAATAGGACATAATGTTCCCAATTGATTTTATGGGGTTATAGAAAAAGTTCAGTCACATGGGGTATGGTTGTTTTGGGGGAACCTATACACCCTAAGTGGTATTACCCATAATTGTCTATACTCCAGCCAACTTATCCAAAATAGTAACCCCACATCTTTATTCTCATGTCTTTTATCTGCTTGTTATAGAAACATCTCCTCTTTGCCAAAACAATCGAGAATGTAAAGTCAACTTTAGTGATGACATATACATATTCTCAGTATCTGACTTTGATTCATACACAGCTTTAACCTACAGAATTTTAAACATCTCAAGCTTTATTTTGACACATGAATCTAAATGTCATAGTTACTAATTGCCTCCACTTTCATTCCCATTGAAGTCATCATGGTCCTAACTAAGCTTAGAAAAATGAATTACTATGTGGGATCCAGCTCCAGGGCTCTGACGCCAGCTGTGTTGGCAGACCCATGAATCTGTGAACACCTAAGCATCCTCAAGACGAGAGCCTGGTGTGAAATAACTCACCCAAAGGGAAGGAGGAACCACAAGGAACTAGGGGACTGGCAGGTCCAACTAAAGGGAGAACAGTGTCCCATTCCAGGGTGAGAGATCCCACGTATGGTGAGAGCTACTGGAAATCAGAAAGCTGTGGATGGTGAAGCTGTGAAAGGGCAAGGCCAAGTCCCCATCCTCGAACTACTCAGGTGCAATTCCCTAAGGGCCTATCCCTTGGGGTTGATTTTACACTGTTTTCTGCATCATCAGGCCGAGCTTGGCAAATCAACTAACTACTAAGCCATTAATTTAAATTTCAACCAGACCTGGGATTTTAAGAGAAATAGGCAATCTCAAATCCCGTTAGGGGATGTCCAAATTGGAAAGTCTTGAGGCTGTCACTATGTATCAAAGGCTTTAAAAAATACATACCTGTGACAAAAAATTCCACTTCTAAAAACTTTCCATAAGGAAATAACCACAAAAAGGAAGGAACTCTTACCATTTGCAATGGCATGGATGGAACTGGAGAGCATTATGCTAAGTGAAATAAGCCAGTCAATGAAAGAAAAATACCACATGATCTCACTTATTCATGGATAATTGAGACCATTATAAACTTTTGAACAATAATAGATACAGAGGCAGAGCTGCCTCAAACAGAGTGTCAAACTGCATCGGGAAGGCCGGGGAGGGTTCGGGGCGGGAGGTAGGGGGGTAAGAGATCAACCAAAGGACTTGTATTCATGCATATAAGCATAACCAATGGACATAAGACACTGGGGAATAGGGGAGGCTAGGGGACTGTCTAGGGCGGGGAAAAAAATGGACACATATGTAATACCCTTTGTAATAAAAAATAAAATTTTAAAAAAAAAGGAAATAACCACAAAAGTATTTAAATAAACATACATACATGTGATATGATAAGAAATACATATTTTAGTCTTCACCCTGACTCCTGGTCAGAGATTCTATAAAACCTTCATCATTTCCTAAACAATGAAGGTGCTAGGAGCATCTACTGTTCTAATATTTGGTCTCTGTCCCTGGTTCCTAAATCCCTTGGAATTCCTTGGGTAATAGAGGTGTCTTTTGCCCTAATGAAGTGACTTTTGGTGGGCTGGCTTCAGGTAGAAGCTTGTCCCCAGAAAGATGAAGCTTTGATTAGAAGAATGGAAATTTCAGCTCCACCCTCAACCTCCAGGGTTGAAAGAGGGGTTGGAGATTGAGTTAATAATAAATCATGTCTATATGATGAAGCCTCCATAAAAATCCCTAAACTATAGGGTTCAGAGAGCTTCCAGGTTGGTGAACCCATTCAAGTGACAAGAGGGTTGAGTACCCCAACTTGAAGTGGACAGAAGCACTTGTGCTCGGAACCCTCCAGTCTCTTTTTACCTTTATTATATAATTAACACTAAACATATGTGTTTCCCTGAGTTCTGCAAGCCACTATCATGAATTATTTATTGAACCTGAGGCATGGCCTTGGGACCTCCAAATTTGTAGTCAAGTTGGACAAAATGTAGGTAACGTAGGGATTCATTACTTACTAGGGGCCCGGTGCACGAAATTTGTGCACTGGTTGGGGGTGGGGTCGAGTGTCCCTCAGCCCAGCCTGCCCCCTCTCACATACTGGGAGCCCTCAGGCGTTGACCCCCATCACCCTCCATTCGCAGGATCGGCCCCTTGCCCAGGCCTGGCTGAGGCGTCCGGCCCGG